GGGGCCGGAGAGGTGCAGAGGTGCGAACGCGCATATCAACACCTGCAGCACATAGAAATCTCTGGAGCATGCTATCCGACCTATTTGCCATAATGCCGAATTAAGAATTCCAATTTCTTGATAACTTTCAAGCACTTTCTGTACATTGAGCCTCTTTACCTGGCCCATTGATTGCCAAGCATCAAATAGCCATCGCATACGTTGATTTAGATTAGTTGAGGTCGATGAGAATTTATCTATGCTCAGTTTTATTTTCTCCTTTTTGTTTTGGGTAGTTTTTAGCGCGTGGGTGCGCAGCGAAAACAAGGCGCAATTCACGATAAATACTTGCAAATAAATAAGCTGCCAGACAAAGTACAATAAAGTTGCCCATTTGCCCACCATTTGGCCACGCCTCCAGCAACCCGCACGCTGACGTTGCTGCTGCCAAGTCAATCAACCAGCGATGCCAGTTGCCAGCGATTGCTGCCCCCTCGCAGCTACTTTTAGCGTTTTGCACTTGAAATTGCTAGAAAAAAAAAAAACAACATTCAAATTTGTCGACCACCCGCAGGCACACGTTCGCGCCACCCTCCTGGCCAGGTAAGATCTGGCTAAGGATCTACGTCATGGGCCGCTCGATGATGCAGTCGTGTTCATATTCAAGTCATAAACGCGCAAAAAGTTTGTGTAAATAAAGCGGCGCCTCCCGCCTGCCACGACGCATTTGTGCCTCATGACGTACTGCACGGACTGCCCCACGTGACGTCACGGCCAAAGCATCATACATAGCCCGGCCAGGTGCGCGCCCCCTTCCAGCCATACTCCTGTACCATTCTTCTTCATCAGCTTTCGTTTATTTGCATCCAGAAAAACTTATACGGAAAACCTATGAGAAACTGTTTCTATTTTTGGGCGATTGCACGAGTCAATTTCCAATTGGCGCCAACATAAACAAACACGAACACGAACTGAATTAAACAGCAACAGAATCGAATTGTAGACTTAATAAGATGCTATTGTTGTGACTATGACGAGGATCCTACTATTGGCCATCAGGTGTACGTACTCTATGTACTTCCCTCTGACATCAGGGGGTCGTGCGTACAGCTGGGTTGTTCCCATGCTTCCGAATGCTTTGATTATTAATCAATAATGTTAAATGATGGGCAATTTGTTGTTAAAGGTGAATAACTCAGTGAGTCGCACTTCTCGCGAAATAACTTTTCATTTTCGCTGCTCTCTGTTATTTTCTTGGAATTCAAGTCTTGGTTTTCGACATATTGGAAAAATGATTTTGGCGAAACATTTTCGTTTTCCTGTTTAAATTTGAAATTCTTCAGGTGATCCACAATTTTCTTTGGATTGACCAAAATTAAATGCCCTTGCAGACATTTAGCAGAAGGGCTATTTATTTTACGAATATATTATTTACCTGGCCAAGCAATGCTGTTTTAATGCTATAGCTCAATATTCAAACCATTTGATTTGAACAAAATATTGAATTAATTTTAGCTATTCGTCTTTGTTTCAAAGTCGTCAAGAAACAAAGTTGTTCAAACTATCAAAAGTAGAAATTAACTTTAGCTGTTCTGCTGATAAAAGTTAAGTTAGAATCTGTTGCACAAACAATTCAAATAAAATTGAATTTGCAATTTGCAGTAAATATATCTGCGAACATTTTCCTTTTGGACACTTTGGACTCTTTTTCGAGCGAACAGTTGAGAAATGAGTCACCCTTGTCAGAGCTGTGCCTGCTACATTGCAACCACTTCAGAAATTCCTTTGCCTGCACGTTTCCAAAGAAATTCAACGTTTCTTCAAAGCCAAATATGTAGACACGCTTTTGTGGCGCGACACAGGAGCAGCACGTGTCCTTGCATGCCAGTCAGGGATATTCACTTGGAGCATTTCCATTGCCATTCCCATTTCCCCTGGAACTCAGCACAGTTCCCATTACTTTGCTGAATGCCCCTTCAAGTTGCAATCTCATGATGTGCGTGCAGTTGCGCCTAATCCGCGTTTTAGTCGCCGGCGTTCGTCGTTTATCCTGGCCTGGACACGGAGCTGGGGCCAAAGCCAGCCCAGACATAGGCGGAAACTGTTGCTCATTCTCTCCCTGTTGGTCATGATGAGGCGTATTCCTGCTTCCTGCTTGCTTTTTGCTTTGACAAACAAATTAATAAGAAAACGAGGGCTGAACTAGGCGGCGCTGTATTGGGCTGGGCTGGGTTGGGCTGGTCTTCCGATCCGGTCTGGCATGTTACCCCCGTCGCAATGCTGTTTGCCTGGTCATAATACGCGTAATTTTGCCCTTTTGTAAGCAAATGGCTGGCAAACTGATGCCCGGCCAGAGGCGGGCAGCACGACCGAGCAGCACCCTAACCAGAGAGCGAACGTTGCGGGTTTGTCCTTGATGCCAATGCTCGACATAATGACTTTTGATTACAGCGCCATTAAGCGCGACCCAAGGATGTGGCAGCTCCTTGTACATCTGTTTGATTTTGGCTTTGTGTGCTCGGCTGGGCAGGGATTACGCCTGCTCGCTAGAGTTGTGCTTACTAGTGCCAGGTTGACTGAACCAGCTAAGTAGTTCAATTTGTGACTGAGCGAACTAATCTTTCGAGCTCTGTCATTCATATGAACCAAACTGGAAGCATGACATTAACTTAACGACCAAGGGATTTTTGAACTATTAACAAATGATGGGGTTCATGAACTGCTAAAGGATGATGAGACTCGCGAATTACTGAAAAAAAAAACAAAGAAACTTGTGAATTGCTGACAGATTAAGGGAACCACGAACTACTGAAATATGGGACTCGTGAGCTGCTTAGAGATGATGCGATGATGAACTATTGACAAGCAATGGGACTAGCATGACTACTGAAAGATTGAGAGAGACATGAACTACATATAGATTGTGGGACTCTTAAACTACTAGCAGATAATGGAAATTTTGAACTAATGAACGCATTAGGAAACTCATGAACTAGTGAAAAATTAAGTCGGGTACTGCTAAATGGGACTCGTGAAATTCTGAACAATGTACTGTTATGTGAACTACTAAACGACTTAGGGACTTTTGAACTACTAACAAATTATGGTATTCGTGAACTGATTTAGGATGATGAGACTCGTGCACTACGGACAGCTTTAGGGACTTGTGAACTGCTATAATATATTATGGCACTCGTGAACTGCTGAACGACTAAAGCTTTCATGAACTCATGCACTCATAGACATGGCTCAAGTGAACAACATATTAATTATGGGATTCATGAACCGCTGGCATATGATGGAGGTCGAAAAAATCTGAATTACAAGTTGTTCAGTTGTTCGGTTCATTAGTTCAGTTGAACCAATTGTGAACAATTTGGGGCAACTCTGTTGGTCTGCGCTCTGCTTGGTCGCCGCAGGATGTCGCCGGCTCGTAAATATTACCCACTGTGCATGGGATAAGCCGCATTAGACGCAATCCAATTCAATCCATTCAAAATGGCAAATTGCTTCGACTCGCATAACACGCACACGCACGTACATATACCCAAATGAATTAATGCGTATAGTTCAATTACGGTAATGTCAGGCCCGCCCCCATTGTCCCGCCCCGCCTTAAATGCTTGCCCCTTGCGTTTAACTGAATTGCGTTTTAAGTGACCTTCAGCAACGATTTTCTTACTCCAATTTTTTTCTCTCTTTCTTCTTGTGCTGCTGCGTCGCAGTTAATTTTCCAAGAATTGTTTATTGACATTCTGTGGCGCATTTTGCGTGCAGCAATTGATTGCCTTGTCATATGGTGCATGCTGCCATGGAGGCGACTCGAGCACAGTCAGGAGTCAGTTGCTCGTTGGCCTGTTGCCCCATAAATTAAGCAATTTCCTTCTTCGCCTTTTTCTTCAATAAACTGCACACGTTGCGCATACGCCGCGTATTGCTGCCCATTGCCAGAGTGATGCCCATCGCTCGACTTGGCCATCAATTTGGCGGGCTGACTGCGACTGGCTGGTGTCTTCAGCTGTTGCCCCGCCACCAGCAGGTGCTGTCCACCTCACCTGCTGTCGGCTGCCAAGCCCATCAACATGAACATCAATTTCAAAGTGCATTCGCCATGTTGCACAGGTCGCGACCACTTGGCACACTTACTCAGTTGGGGGTGCAGGTGTGTGTGCAGGTGGGTGTGTGTGTGTGTGTTGGGGGTGGGTCTGGGGCTTACCTTTGACGGGCGACCTTTTGCCATCCACGCTCGCATAATTCCTCACGGTCTTCGGGCTTCCACTTGGACTATAAATGCGCATGTAATCTTTACAAAAGTTTGCCATTTCGTGTTCTCTTGTTTTGGGGTGTGTCTATCCGCCCCCTTCTCATACCCCTCTCAACCTTAAGTCTTTTGGCAGTTACATTTGCAAGCTCTTCATGTTTAATGCTGTTTTTATTTTATTTTTGTATATATAATGTTTTATGTGCATTTCCATTGCCTTGTAATGGCGTCCATTTCGCAAGGAAAGTTTTGCAGCTCTTTTGAAAGTTGCACAACTTTTCGCCCAGTTCTCAAAGTTTTTGGTGTCAAAATCAATTTTACTGAGCAGTCGGAGCTTAAAAAGAACAAAAACAACAACAACAACAGCAAAGTAGTTCACCTGATGCTAATTACTGCCAGGTGAAATTAGCAGACTGATGGAAAGCAATTAGAAACAACTACGAAATGGGATTAGACAAGTCTGTGGCAAGGCGCTTTTCTTCAGCTTGAAGTGCGCCAAACTTCTTCAACTAATTTACATGGATTCAATGCGCAATGCAAATATTGATTGGCATTTCTAGCACAGACAGAAACTCAACTTAATGTAAAGCAATTAATTCAAGCATGTCCTTATACCTATGCCAGATGTTGATTTAGGGTAGATTGAATGTCAAGTGTGTAATGGTAATTGTGAGCTGGAGCTGAGCCTGTATTCTCCCGTGAATTCTATCTATTTTCTAGCAAACATCGTAACTCAACTTCATAAAGAATAACACGTCAATTGCTGAGTTAATAATTTGAAATGATTTTATTTCTTAAGATCCGAATCTTATATATAATTTGCGAGTTCCAGTCTGGGTTGTGATTGAGTCGAGCTTTCGTGTAGTAGATGCTACAGATTGGGTCGATTGTTTTTGCCTGTAAATAATAATTAAAATTTAATTTAATTATAATACCAAAATCATGCAATTTAACTTATCGGCTAACAAAAAAAAAAAGAACAATTCAATCATGGTAAACATATTGCATATTATTGCTGCTACTGCAAATAAAGCGCTTGCCACAAAATGTTGCAAAAATGCATTTACATTTGCTGCGATAAGCTATCAACTCCTTTCTGTTGACAGTCGCAAATTGAATTGACCCTTGTGGCGAGAACATGCAAATCAAAATTAATTAACATTTGTCAAATACCAAACGCATATTTAATAAACTTTATGCAAATAGTTGCAATTAAGAATTAAAATAAAAAAAAAACTACGTTTGCTGCGCAGTGATATATCATTAGCATTAAAGTCATTGCAAACTTGGCAGCATCAGCTTAAATTGCAGCTTAAAATTCATTGCAAACTTGGCAGCACTTGGCTTAAACGCATTGCAAGCTGTGCAGCGCTAAATTGAAATGCCACTTGGCAGCACTTACATAAAATGCATTGCAAATTTGGCAGCACTTTCATTAAATGCATTGCAAACCTGCTTAAAATGCAACTGGACTCCAACATAAATTTGTTGCAATTTGGCAGCACTAGCATAAAAGTCTTTGCAAAGATGGCAGTACTACAATAAAATACACTGCAAACTTGGCAACACTAGCGTAAAATGAATTGCAGCTTAAATTGCATTGCACAAGCAAAATATGCATTGCAAACTTGCCAGCACTGATTAATGAAAACAAAAGGCAGCTGATAACAGTTTTGTAAAAAGCTTACTATTTATTGACCTACGCTGCAAGCTTTCCACACTTGCACACAATTTTGATAGACACAATTAAAGCAGATAAATGGTTTTAATTTTAAAGATATATATTTGCTGCCTAAGCTGGTTAATAATTAAATTTGCTTTCACTCTTTGAATATAGATACACATTTGAGCTGCTGTAATTTATGGCATTTTGTTCGTTTTAAATTGCATTCTCCTGCACTTTGCAAGCGAACAAATGCCAGCATTTAATTAAACTGATGCGGCGCACAACACATCAATCAATCAATGCATCAGTGTCAATAGTGTCAATATAATAACACAGTGCACGCATATTTTGTTCGATTAATAATGCATTTTCGGGCTCATTTAAATTCAATTTTTCAAAATCTATTTATCATAATCTATCTAATGCCCGATTATAATGAACTCGCGCGTCGAGGCTGCAGTTGATTGCCGATTAAAATCAGAATCAGGCGCATCGTTGCCTTCAGCCCCTGCTCCCGTTTGGCCTCTCCCTGCACGCTGAGCCAAAACCACCTGCCCGCATTTGAGAGACCCCGAGACCGAGTGGCACAAGCAAGAACAACAAGAACAACAACTACAAAATCACACCTTGCGTCCTGTTCCTGTGCCCCTGCTTTCAGGCTTGTTGTGGCAGCGTCTTTGCTTTCTAGCCGGCGGCTGCTATTTGTAGGCAACTTGGCAAACAAAGTCCTTGGGCAGACATACACGCAGGCAGGACTCTTTTGCTATCAACTCAATCGCAATCGGCATGCATCAGGGATCTGTTTGCAACCTATCTGTTTGTGAACAACTCAAATTACCATTTCGATTCAGTTTTTAATGAGATTTGCCCGCTTTCATCTGCCACAGCAGAAACAGGCAGCAGCAGCAGCGTGTGCCAACGTCCTGGCTCTGCCTCTGCCTTTGCTGCTGCCTCTGTTTTTGCCTCTGCCTCTGCTGCAGGCACGAGTTATGGGCTTGTAATATCATTTTCCGGCAGTTAGTTTGTCTCACCCGGCAGCTGCGAATGGCGGCGGCCACGTTACAGTGCGTCCTTGTTGTATCCTATCAGACAGGACCAACATCGACTCACTTCTTTAGCTACATTTGTGACTATCGACTCAATTGCAAGCGCGCTTCAGTGCATGTCCTTCACACACACACACACACACACTCACTACACACAATCGCCCTCGTTTATGCTGCCTTCTTGGTGGACAGGTTAAACAGGAACAGCGTGTCCTTAATGCCACAGTTGTGTTGCCGCCAGTTGGTCGTATGAAATCAGTGAACCAATTAATGCCGCGCACCGATTCCGCCTTGTCCCCCCTCCATTGGGCAGGATGTCGAGGTCCAGTGTTTATTGTCCTGGCTCAGCTCCTGTTTTTATACCCTGAACCCATTAAAAATGGGTATAAGGGTATATTGTATTTGTCCAAAATCCAAATGGATGTAACAGGCAGAAGGAAGCATCTCCGACCCCATAAAGTATATATATTCTTGATCAGCATTAATAGACGAGTCGATCTAGCCATGTCCGTCTGTCTGTCCGTCCGTCCGTCCGTATGTATGAACGCACGGATCTCAGAACCAATAAGAGCTAGAGACTTAAAATTTTAGATGTAGGTGCTCCTAGTGCCTGCGCAGATCGAGTTTGTTTCCGATAATCGATAACTTACTCCGTTTCCAAGCAATCGATAAAAATCAATATGGATATCCTGTTTTTTGGGCAATTTTGGTAAGTCACGAAACATGATATGTTGCTTTTAAAATAGAATATATATGCATTTGATGAAGAGGGTTCAGGGTATCGCCTAGTCGGGAGCTCCCGACTAGAACCTCTTACTTGTTTTTTTTTTTTGTCCTGCGGCTCCTGCGCGTGTGCTTCTGACCCGTTAATGCCGCCAAATGTTTTTTTAAACACATTTATCCAAGCACAGCGCCGCTTCATTTGGCCTCTACAAAGTGCACCACAGAAACAAGTAAAAGTGATCTAGTAGGGCGTGCCCGATTTGCAGATACCCTGCTTATTCTGCTTGAAAATTTCAGTAAGAATGTAACATGGCAAAAATTAGATTATATTTGATCTGATCGTTGAATAAGATTATCTACATTCAACATATTAAAGCTTAAGCTTTCGTCAGTTGATGCTGATCAGAAATATATTTCTTATATCAGGAATATATTTTATTATATCAAGAATAAGTTTTCTTAAATCAAGAATATATTTTCCCTTATCACAAATATATTTTCTTATGCCTGTTACATACGTTTGCACATATGCAATATGCCCTGTTTGCCCATTTTCAATGGGTTCAATGGGCATAATAATGCTGCACGTGTGTGTTGGCCCTGGTGTTTGCCCCCGCTCCCCAACTGCTGCGTCTGCCACTTGTTCCGGTGTCGAGTTGCACACGGCCTCAATTGCACGCCTGCCCCTGGCCTAGGCGCAGGCACCGTGCGCTGTTTCCTTTAGAGCAGCTGTCCCTGTGTGTGCGCGTGTGTGTGTGTGTGTGTGCGCGCGCCTTGTATGAATTGCGTTGAAAATGTTGGTTTATTGATTTGTAAGTTGAAATTTAATTGAAACTCGTTGGCTGTCTGGCCTCGCTGTTAGCTGCCCCTGCCGCATTTATCCTTGGCTTCCTTGGCAATTTATGAGGTCAGCTCGTGTTATGTGGCTGATAGCGTCCAGGCTCATATTTTCACTTACCTCTAATTAGAAACCAAAAAGAAAACTGTTTACCTGTCCAAGTTCTGCGGCTTTGCAGCAGCAGCTGCTGCAGAAACTGCAGAGCTTGCCACTAAAATCTAATTACGTGGCGAGTGTGTGGACTTATCTGGTTGTTAACAGTCCAGTGGTTAGCTGGCAGAAATTGCAATTTGTTGCACCAGGCTAAAATTAAAACTATGAAATGAAAAGGAAGCAAAAGAAAATGTTCAACAATGTGTTGGCATTTTAAATGCGCAGAAACTCTTTAACTATCTTCTAGTAGATAACGTGCCAATATTTATGCAATTTAACAGAGTTTCCCTTATTTATATTTTCAAATAATACGCGCTGCTTTGGACTATTTAGTTATCTTGGGGGTCATAAAATTGAGGTTAAACTAATAAATAAATGCTGCGCGTACTTGCGCCACATTCCAGAGCCGCGAACTTAGGACCTGGCACTTGTCAAGGAAATGCTCCAGAGCCAAATATAATTGATATAAAACAGCGATCGTATTCCAAGACTGAACAATAAATCTTTTGGGCCCACGCGAACCGAAGGCATTTCGTAGGCATTTAACCTCGTCAGCTCGAGAAAAGGTCGCAACGATCGCTGCCATTGTGTGGCCCCGAGCGGCACTTCCGATTTGGCATCTTTTTCGGGCTGCTGCGCACGCGCCCCGGAGTCGGGGGCAGACAGCAGTGCAGGGCAGGGCACGGCAAGGCAGGGCAGCCAGCGGCTGTTTAATGTAGAAAAAACATCTGTCCCGGCCGACGAGCGATTGCTCCTCAATCAGTGCGCTTCCTGCCGGGGCAACATGTGTGTACACACACACACAGAGACACACATACACGCAAGTCCCTTTGTTTGTGTGTTTGCACAAAGGATGCGCGTGCTGCGCTGCAGCAGATGCCACAGCTATACCAGAATATGCATGCATAGTCCTGCCGCAGACGTGAGTGGAGGGGGGTGCAAACCACATTCAAAACTATAAAAATTTGCACGTGCATTTGATTCGTGGCCGAGTCCAATTGTCCAAATGTAATGAAAAGTAAAAGGTTCATGCCACACTGAGAGAAATATTTCAATAAGCGAGGACATTTAGTTTGAGTTTACTTTATTTGAGTATCGTTTTGATCACGAATTCAAGAATTGAGGACTAACAAATCATGTTTGATCTTTAAAATATCCAAATAATTGCCTTAATTCCCATACAAATGTCAGCTTGAGCTTGAATTAGCACTTGTTTTCTAAAAATAACTTAAAAACAAACCAGATGTAATAATACAAGCAAGTATTCTATATAAAAAGTTTAGTTTGTTGTTTGCTCTTGATTTAAGTCTGATGTAAAGGGTTTAAAGAATCTTAGCTTATGCTTGAAAAAAGCATAAGATATTATTAAATCAAGGCAAACTGACAATAAGCAAAACAAATCAGATTTGTATCACATATACAAAAAAAAAACCAAACCTTATTTGTACCTAGAGCTGAATTAAGCTGCGTC